GATTGAAATTTTGTATATATATCTGCTTATAAATGTTTACTTATTGTTTTATAAGTATATTTCTTGATTATATCTGAATATTATCTAAATTATAGCGCTTATTTGCAGGGTAAAGCGTAAAGAAGACCGGTATACTTTTATAGCTGGGATTTCTTCAGCTGGAATTGCATACGGTCTTATACCGTATGCAATCCCAGCTGAAGAACTTTGCTAAACAGCGTAACATATTGGTTATAAAGATTTGGCAGTAACAGATAGTAAGTACAATTAATTAGCACATATAAAATATTGAGTAGCACATATAAAACCAGATATGTAAACTAAATTAAATATTACAATTCTGTTCTTTTCCTCACATACAGATAGAGGGAAGTGACCATCCAGCGCTTATAATCAAACACAATGACTTCTCTCAATGGGTTCTCAAAAGTTTTACAATGCACGGAGTAAGCAAAGTTTCAAATATGATCACTTGAGGAAGGAAGTGCAAAATTATGAACCTTATGAACCAGATCCTATAGCGGAGCATTGGAGGTCAGCTTTTCAAGACGAGATAACAAATTATACTCAAAGTCATTATAGACACGGCGCCTGCTCAGTTTTTGGAATAAGAATATTAAACACTAGAAAGTGAGAAGAAGACGGAAAACATATGACTGTTCTTCTCTACTCTCCGAAGCTAGCCGAAGCGCAGAGCGCACACGTACGCGGTTCGCGCTTGTGTGCGTTATCCCCTCCATTGCTGAGCCGTGAGCCGCGGGACCTGTTTCCGGCTACACTGGTCTGCAACTCGGTGGCAGATTCGCGCGGGATGGAAGATAAGCTGAGCAAGGTCGAGAGATGTTTGTTTATCGACCGCCTTTTGTCGTCGTACCGTTTTATCAACGCTTTCCACGCTATTTCAAAATTCTCGGCCGTTACAGAAATATTTGCGATACATTCCTGCGCGCTACCCTTAAGGCACAATGATAAAAAGTACATGCGAGCGAAAACATTTAGATCCGAATTTTCACGAATTAGTGTCGTAAATCGATCGCGAAATTGTTCCCATTCGTCGTAATTGCCGTCGAACGGAGGCAATTTGATGGGCGGAAGATGCGATAATGAAAACGCGGACGCGTCCGCGGGCAGCCTCGTCGAGGACAGAGATGGGTTTGGACTCACGACCGGCTCCATTTCCTCCAGGATCTCCGCCATGTGGTCCAGAGCGTTTTGGTAGGCTGCGTAGGTCGAGTCGAAATGATGCTCCTTGAAGTAGCTAAAGCACGACCGGGTCGCTTCCGGGATCCTCTGCATTACGTCGGCATGTCCGTTAGAGAATTGAATCCAAACCTCCTTTAGCGATGAAATCCTCGAGCGCACCTTAGCTCGAGTTAGATTGCTTCTCCCGATTTTTTTGAAGTTCTCGAGGTAGCGTTCTATGGAGCGCTGATACTGCTGCTGAAGTACGAAGTGCTCCGATATTGTGTATGCCACTGATTTGTTATGATCACGCGATCACGCGCCGATCGGCTGATCGCGACGATGTTTATTCTCGCTCGGGTTTTGATCGCGGCTCTTACCGTTCAGATTTGTCGGTTGAATTTACAGTTTAAATTTATCGATTAAATTCAACGTTTCAATCTTGAACATACCGCCCGCCTTGGAACGATAGTTCCAAAATAATCGATACAACAGTAGCATTGAACGATAAGAGCGCATTAACGATATAAGGAAGAATTACTTTTTTTTCGATATGATTTAACATCGTGAATCTGCCGCCCGCCTTGGCGGAATGACGCTCGCCCTGTGACAATTTTGTGCTTAAGTCTAACAAAGTACAGTAAATGAAACGCAACGCAGCGAAAGAGTCTAATTACTCGTTGCCTCATTATTGACCGGTAATGCGCACAGTTTTACAATCGGTCGTTTAAATTCAGAGGTGGCCGTCTTGACGGTGATGACCCGCACAAAGCCGTCGGACCCGGGATAACAACGCGTTACTCGGCCTAGTTCCAATTTGCAGGGAGGAAATGTCGTATTTCGCAAGAGAACGAGTTGTCCGGTATCGATCTGCGCTTTGACCTTTCGCCATTTTGCTCGTTGTTGCAACGTGTTTAAATAAT